AATTAAAAATTTTAAATTAATTAATGTCAATTCAATTAAATTCTTATCGATACAAAAATTAATTAAGTTAGCATTGCTTTTTCTTAAGAGTTTGGGCAGTTTTGAATGGTAGTAAAAACAGGAAACAGGAAACTTTTTTGTTCCCAAGTTGATCTTGTGAAGAATCTTGAAACAAATACCAATGAAATTTACTCGAAGCTGCCGACAGAACTACTGGGGATAAAGGGACGGATCTGCACAAACTCTAAAGACTTGATAAATAATGAATTTGACAAGTCTTGTTATTGTCCGTAAAAATCTTATTTTACAATTCAGATTATATTAAATTGAATTATAAAATATAATCATTTAAATAAGAAAAACCCTACCCTCCTTCAATGATTTTAATATAATCTAAGACCATACAACACTTTTTCCTTATTTGATTATATTTTTCTTCATAAGATTAAAATTTCATTTGGAATTACTTTGGAATTACCATGAACTGCTGTGACTATAGCTTTTCAAGTATTCTACTATCATAAAAATTATATTATTGTTTGATAATTACTTTGAAAAAAAATGTAATACATCAATACAATTATTTATTATACAAAATGTCAATTAAAATTAATTTAATTATAATAATTTACCAAGGTGCCACCCAAGAAAGCACTGCGAGTCCACAAAGTAGGTTATAGCAGAATGAAGCATTTTGCATTAGGTTCTCTGATGCAGATGAAATGGATAGAGAAAAGTTCTTATAAATAAAACCTTATTGGGATTCCAAATTGCATCATGAACCCTGCTGTGCCCTTAAGCCAGATTGGCTACATAAAGAACATATAGGTTACAGTATATACCAGAAGCTGATTCTATTGTTCATAATTTAATGGAAGGGATTGAGTTTGAGAGTCACCAGGAAGCATGTGCTGTTACCAGTTGATTTGCAGGTAATCCTGCGGTTTTGCTGGCAATAACATTTCTATTATCAGTGGAAATATTCTAATTTGAATTTCTGCAGCAAACATTGTGATGACACTGATATCATCATGGTTATCACTTTTGTGTTTGAAAACTTTGTTAAGAAATGTAGAAAGGAGACCAAAACAATTTTACAAAATGTACAAGCAAGCAGGATGCAGGACAAGCTTCATCTTGAAATTACAATTATGAGTTCAGATAATTAAGCTTGTCATTTTGTTTATTTGTGCAATCAGCAAACTGAACAGTATGATGAGTTATGTGTTATTAGTTGTCTGGTTTGACAATCAGTGAGACTCAATTGCTGCAAATTGGAAAATCTAGACAGAAATGAGTCTAACCTCACTGACTTGAATCACTCAGTCGATTCTTTATCAGGCTAGCTATATGGTGAGCAACCCATAATGAGCCAGCCTCAGTACAACTGAAACCATGAGTGTGGCCCTCCCTTTCGATTGACAAGGAAGCACCTGGGACCTGCCCGGCAATCTGCAAGCATAAAATGTAAATGACATAAGACTAAGACCAGGCAAAAAATCCAAAGGGAATGTGGAAAATGTTGGAGAGCAAATGTTGTTAGACAAGGCAAAATAAGATTGACATTGTGAGAATTTTCAATAGCCGGATTAAAACCAAACGAGAATGGTTTAGATTCCCCCACCTTTGCAACACTCACATGGAAGAAAAGAACCATTGTATTATTGATTGACAAACTTAAGAAGAAAAAAGAAAGGAATCCAAACATATCAGAGATGATTATCCATTAAAAGTAGCTGGTCTTTTATGTTCCTAGAAACAAATACAAAATACCCACTTCTGAAACACAAGAACGCCAAGAATATTGATGCCAATAATAAGGGCATTCAAGTATTTTAATCTCTTGGCCAAAAAAAACAAAAAAGGAGGTATTTTATTCTCAATAAATATATCCAATTTATTCCTGATCCTATCCTCCATCTAGAAGGTAGGAGCCAGGAGGAAAGGAAGCAATATAAAATGGAAAATAATCCTATGCATAATTCACCTTAAATGCATATCCATAAGGACCATAACGAACGGCAACACATTCACACATTCATGGACAGAATATTTTTCAATCTATTAAAATTATAAAAACAATATTTATAAATAAAAGAACAATAGACAATCACTAGTACCTCATCCAACATTTGCAGTGGGCCCCAGTGATCATCAGTGCTAAACAAAAATGCAATTTTATCCTGGTTTTCTCTCATAAATGCCCAGTCTGGTGTTTCTGCAAGCTAACACAAAAGGGTACAGTCAGCACAATATTGTAAATGTACTTGAGCAGTCTATGTAACACCACCATTTTAAAATTTGAAGGATAAAATAACAAACACATGGATGTAAATTGAACCAAAAGAGAAGAAAAAGAAGGAGAAAAAGAGAAGCTGGGAAACTGTAATTGCTTTTGTTGTGTTATAAAATTCCTTAGACATTGGTATGAGGAAAGCATTTAAACAGAAAAGCTAGGGTTAGTTAGCTAAAACCTTACCATTCAAAGGGTTGAATCAATATCAAAATATCTTATAGAATGCAATCAACCTCAGCACCTTTCTAGCTGTAATTATCCTACAAGAACTGATTATATACCTTTCGGAACTCTGTCATTGCCATAAAGAGCACATTTCGCATAACATGGTACTGCAAAGAAATAAAATGTAAGACGAGTTAGTTGTGAATTTTACAAGCAGACTTGATTGGTATAATGTCGAATAAATTAGACTTCCACCAGAGTAGAGTTAAATAAAAGGTCCTCAAGGCTCTAGGTCAGTTTGCATTGCAAGACACATAGATTAGGCAATAGGAGAAACATATACCCTAAACTAAGAGGAAAAATACATTTTCAACCCAAGCAGCATGCTTTTTATGTTGAGAAGGGATAACACTTTACCTGTGGCAGATGAGAGCAAGCAGCATCAACTGCAGCATTAGACCAAGATTTTCCAAGAAAATTTTTGACAATTAACCTCAAAGTCCATCTAGGTAACAAACCCAATGATGCAACAAGGAAACTAGCTGAAGTAGAGAGCACTTTGGACCTGAAACTCACAAATAAATTCTAAGAAATCAACTCAAAAAGAATGCCAAACATAGGCTTTCAACAGAACCAACTGAAACAATTAGTTGCAAAAGTACAATATCTTGAAGTAGTTCTCGTATGATTATCAGCTTAACTAGGTCAGCTTATTCTTAAAACCTAATTAGATTGGATGTCTCAGAAACAAGTCTCCAGTTAATGAACCATACATTGCAGAGAACAGGGGAAGAAGCCAAGTACCGAATGTAACCAGACACAAAAACAATAAAACCTACTGAAAAGGGGATAAAGAGTAATTTAACAAAACTGGGTATTCATCTGCAATATAAATTTTCTAATAGTACTGAATATTTTGCAGACAAAAGATGCTGCTAAGTATGTATAATAATAATGTAGAGAAGGATAAGCAAAACTCATGATCAGAGAAAGACCATTACATTGCAATCTTCCCAATGATGATTTGCATCTTTGATTGTAAATTTAATGCTAAAAATGGATACAGTCCAATATAATATATTACCTACAAAAAATGAAAAAAAAAAAAAAAAAAAAAAAAAAAAAGAAGGAATTTCAATAAGTCTCTCTTCTTAAAAGTACACGTGAAGTTTCAAGATGCATACTGAAACCACCAAATTCACACAAATAAAGGAGTAATTAACCTTCTCTGGAGACCTCCTTAACATCTGTAGAGATATATATGAACCAATGGAGTGCCCTACCTAACATGGACAAATTACATATCAGTTGCCAGAATATCATCCAGAATTCCTAAATCAACTGTCAAAATACTTAAATACATCCTATAACAAATGTAGGATCACCAAAATCTTTAAAAGTACGTTTTTTTTTTCCGAGCAAAATCAATTCAAATGACTGTCCATTGTAAGTTTGCAACATGTCAACAACTGAAATTGTTTGAGTGATCTCAGTCCTTATGCAAGGAAAAAAAACCATCAATAATACTTGTAATGGATTTCTATGCTCCTCTTTTCCAAACAAAAAACATTGCAAGAGGTTGGCTCATCTTGGAGATATAAACTACACCATAAGCAGAAAACAATCCTACCAGTATCAGAGGAATTTCAGTATTTTGTAATTCCTGTTTGATGAAATCCATCTGCAAAATTGAGAAGTGATGAAGATTATTAACTTCTCCAATGAGCAGGTTAATTATAATGGCAACAGTCAGATTTGAAGAAAAGAGGGAGGAGGGGGGTCATCAGGAAAGGGTAGATTATTGGGATAAAGATCATATAAAGATATCTATGGTTAATATCCAATCATCTATAAGGAAAACAACTCAGTTATATCATTGGAAAAACTTGAGTTAATCCATTGCCACAGAAAATTCTATTGAGTCTTCAATTTTGTTTATGCTGACTGCATTATTCAAACTCATGCAGATTCAGTAACAAGGTTTAAAATAGCTGAATGGAGGGCAACAATCACACAACCCTAGCCCCATACACAAAATGGCTCCTCCCAGCTAACAATTTGCTCAAAACCAAGAAAGAAAGCAGAAGGTTACCTTATGATCAATTTGTTCTTGCAATGAGAACAATTTCCCTCGCTCCCAGTTCTAACAAAAAACCAGTGAAGGGGAGAAAATGAATTAAGTTGTAATCATAGACATACAACTTACAGAGAAACATAAAATGTGCAAAGACTCAATTCTATGATGCACTTATATTAGAGGAATCAATAAGTGCAAAGGTATTGCATGTTCCATTTAATAGTTCAAATGAAAGTGATTGAAATTTCTATTAATGGGAATTTCATTTGGGGGCATCCTTTAAGTTCAGCCATGTTTAAAGAACATGTTAGGCTCTATTATGGTTCTTTCAGCATCCAATTGGAAAATATATATATATATATATATATATATGAACTTGAAGTTTATGGGGAACCCTAATGACAGTGACAAAGAAACAATGGAAAAACATTTGGTAGC